TTCTGTATATCTGTACACACCTGACTTTTAAACACAATGCCTTTGCCACCATTTACTGCTTTCCTCACTGCACTGAAAACAAACTATTCAGTCTGTTCTTTTACCACCTCCCAGCAATTCCCTACATGTGTAACTCATCCATAATGCATAGGAATAGCCAAGAGCAAAGATTCTGATATCAGAAAATTTTAGTTTTAAATCCTGACTCCAAATTACTAGTGTGACATGGGATAAAGTGTTTTAGTTCTCTGTGCCTCAGTTTTCTTTTTTTAATATTTAAGGAAAGAAAAGGATAATAATGCTTATTACTCCATGGGTTTTTAAATAAATCTTCTGAATTATCTATAATGATTAGTCTGTAATGTTGTCATGTTATAATGCCTTAAGAATTTTGAGTTGTTGACTTACCTTGTAAATGTACTTTAAATTAAATAAACAGTTTAGTAAGGATTATATATATGTATGTATGTTCATTAAGTGAAATTTACTTGAAAATACTAAGTAATTCCGCAATTTACATGGCCCACTCTTTGACAATAGAGATTTGAAGTAACAAACTTCTTCCTACTTGAGATAGATTTTCATGGGGGAAGGTTACTGCATAATAGGTCACATTCAACTGATCTATTCTGTTAATTTGGTAGTATAAAAAGATTTGTAGATAATGAATTTCTATACTCTTTAAGACACTTTATACACTTTGCAGTGCTCTTGGGTTTACTGTTGCCATGTCTTAAAGTGGGACTTTCTCTTGACAGAAGTGTGTTAAGAATTGGAAAATTCCCTATCAGTAGACTAGCACCATCTTGACAGCCTTGTGTTCTGCTTCTACCTTGCTAATTGTTTCCTTGGGATTATTTGGATTGTGTAGAAAGCTTTTTGCAAATCCTCTTATTACAGAAGTCATTGTTGCCAGCAGGAATAAGATTAAAGGTGCTTAAGTCTGTAGAGTTGTTTCTAATTTGTACATGTCATTTCAGTGGCATTTTAACAGAACTCTATCTCCTGTACCTCCCTTCTCCCCCGGTACTATCTTCAGTTAGGTCCAAGAAGCCAGGCCATTGGAAGAAGTCTCATTTTATCCTCCTAATTATTATGCTGGCACTCAGGAGATAATTTTTCCCTTCATGCACTGCCAATTAATATGCAAATGGACTGATAAATATTTATGCAATGATTTAAATTATGCAGGGAGTGCTTTCAGTATATTCTGTAAATGAATTGTTCATGGACTTCAAAGTGCTGGCTGCTGTGCTAACGAGAAGAGATTTGCATAAGGCCCTAATCACGTGCATACTGATTAAGCTTCATTATGGAAACTGCCAGCTGCAATCTTTGTTTCTATTTTATTACAAAAAGAGGAACTTTTTCATGCTTCAGTTGCCTTGACAATGTCAGTCCTAGCTGGTAGGAGAGACTAAAACTCCTCTGAGCAACTGAAGTTTCCTTATTCAGTTGAAGATTGCTATGGTGTAACAGAAGTCGTATTTTGCTTTTCCCCTTAATCCACTTTCTACCCTACCCACTCCCCCTCTTTTCTCTTAAGAACATAGTGTAGATTTGTTAGAAATAGTAGTACCTTCTTTCCCCACCCCAAATCGCTACCTGTTTCTTCCTTGTTTGGACTCTGCTCCTCTAGAAGATTTCACAGCAATGCTGGACTGCAGTGACTATGTTCTAGGTGGGTACCAGCACAGTTCTTCTCTTAGAAGCTTTAATATGGAAATAGCGTGTGTGGGGTTGACTATGCATAAATGCTTAATCGCGTATGCAGACTATGTGGGGGGAGGGAGAGAGTTGGACTGAGCTAGGGAGGAGGAAAGCATTTGCAAAGCACAAGCTTACTTGAATTTGCAGTGGGTCCCTCCCTGTGACTGGCTCTTCTGGTTCAGAGGGTTTTATTAGTAAATATATTGAATTTAGAGTTCAGCTTGAATGAACATTTTTGCTTTTTGGAAATGCCTATTGAGAACATTTCATGTAGTTATAAAGACATCTTAAATCTGAAACAAGGCATAACTGTAATAGATAATATATACATATTAATGAAAATGTTTTTCATACCTAATGAGAATGTCTTATACAAAAACCAAAATGCTCCCTGAAAAATAAGGTTGAGTCACAGTGCAGAATAGTTTTCATAAATGTTAATAAAGAGGGTAATTGTAATGGTTGCTGCAGTAGATCTGTTGATCAATTTCCAGATTTTTAGAAACTATTAACTGTTTTCAAATTTTTGCTAGGATTAGTCTCTCTTATTTTTTAAAATCAAGTATATACTGTAGATAACTACAATTTTGAATGTCGGAAAACCTCATTTTAGAGTTTTCTCCATAGAGCAGCAAGCCTTTTGGAGAGGAAGATGCCAGCTTAGATATATTTAAACCATCTTTGGTGACAGAGATTTCAGAGAAATCAAGGCACCTTGGTTTTTAGATATACGGTGGCTAACGGTGGTCATATTTTTTGTGGAGTTCTGTCTGTATGCAGAATTATTGAGACTTTTTAAAGTTACCTCTAGTCACTTGGAAAGTTAAATGATATGAACTCTAGGACTTGGATATCTTACGTTTAAAACTTTTGCAAATGACTTTTTAAAAATATATTGTCATTTTCCACACTTGAAAATTGAGGCTGCTCCTATCGCCTTCATATTGAAAATATTTGAATTCTTGTGTGGAAGGCATGGCCTAAACCTAGGGTAGCAGTATCTGCCCAGCGCAGTAAAAGCCACTACGGAAAGGGTCAATGACGCGAACAACAAATTTATGTCAGGAATTAAATCTTGTATTTACTCTTGACATTTACTTAGTTGGGAATTTAAAAAAGGAAAAAAAAAAAACTTTTTTGGAAGATTCTAACATTTCATTTTAGAATTAGAAATTATATCTCTTACTTTCACTTAATTGTAAACATTATTTAAACAGTCTTCCCATTATTTAAAAAGTCACAATAGAGTTCCCAGTGCAACTCTATTTTTGTGTGTATGTGAAGTAATGTTTTATTTTTGTGTGTATGTGAGATAATTTTGTTTAATGCTTTTGAAGCTCTTGACAATTCAGTAGAAGACTCTGAGAAGATTCACTTAAAAATCCCTGTGACATAATCTTTAATTTTTAGATGGGAAAATTAGAATATGAATTGTACAAGGTGGGGCTCATGACTTGTTAAGAATTATGCTGCTATGGCATGGGGAGAAATGCCAGATACAGGTGAGGGGGAGGAAGGCAGCAAATCACACTGCCACGTGTGTACCTATGCAACAATCTTGCATGTTCTTCACATACCCCAAAACCTAAAATACAATTAAAAAAAAAAAAGAAAAAAAAACAGCATTACGAAAAGAAAGGAAAAAAAAATTATGCTGCTTTATTTCTTTGGTGCCCACATAGGTGAGAAAACTGTTACTCCTTTTATTCATGTTAACTGATTGATCATTTTTTCTACTTTCCATTAAAATTCATTTAAAGGAAGCATTGAGCATTGTGTATGTTAATGGTATATTCCATTACATTTGTTGTGATCTCTGTTGACTTTCATAAGATTTTGGTTGTTATTCAAAAGCTCATTTTCACTAAGTTATACACCTTTTCCTTGCAAACCTTAATATGCTTTCAGATGACATCTAGATTTCTCTGGACAGTGAGGAGAAGCAAGTTGTAGAACTGCCCTCATTTACAACCACAAACGTATGAATTTGAACCCTTTGAACATTAGAAAACCAAACCAAAGTTGTGACAGAACTACCTAAGCCCATAAGACAAGCATCAGTTACAGAAACTTACTGTATTAGAAAAGCTATTACACATCTTATTGTAAGTGAAATTTATAAAAGAAAGACTCCTGATGTTTTTTTCTCATCTGTTATCCATGGGGATAATTCGACTGTGAAGAACATGGTTGAGAATTCTATCTAGTGATTGTTTTGATTTCCTAGTTAGATGTTTAAGCGTATGACCAAATGTGTTCTTTGGTCAAAAACACAATATAGTTTTAACATTTGTTCTCTGTTAAATAAGTTAAATGTTTTAACTTATTTAATCACTAAATAAGTTAATGGGGGGGAAGGCTGAACTTATTTGACAGTAAATTTGTTTGATTATAAATATTCGAAGTTTGAGTCTACAGTAGTAGAATAAGATATATTTCTATATGTTCCATTTCTTACCCTTTCAAAGAGTTAGAAGGAAAGCAGAGTTCTTGTCTCTTCTCTTAGTGTATTTTCTGGGATACCCAATATTGCTTGATGAAAACTTTATGGAAATAAAAAAATAGATAACCCACCCAGAAATGATAAACTCATAGTAGCAGTTTCATTTAGGATATCGAGGTAGTATTACTTCTGAGTGGGTGTGTTTGTAGTTCAGTTTTGAAATTAATAACTATATCTGTTATGCCTTATGGTGTGACTTATTGTACTGGTTTGTAGTTGAGGTATGAATTTCATATGTTCTCACTTTAACTTGTTTGGTTTGGTTGGGGAGTGGTGTAAATTTGGAGATAATTTATCTTAGACTTTGTTTTTCTTTAGTTCATAAGTTAGTGTCCCATCTATTATCAAGATTACCAGTGGATCGTTTTGGTTATAATGAATGAATATCATTGCATATTGAGAAAGATACTTTATTTGGGAATAACATTTTATTTTGTGAGGTGCTTCCCTTCTCTCCAGTTTTACTTCTTGAATATATTTTGTAATTCACATTACAAAGCATTTATTCCTTTTATATATCAGACTTTCTAATTTTTTTCAGATTACATCAGAATTCTTTAAAAAGACAGTTTGTGAATCCCTTCAGGGTCTGGGCAATTTTGAATTTTTCCCAGATAACCTTTTATTACAATTTCTAATGTTTTAGCCTGCCATGCATACACTGAGTCTCCTTGAACTATGTGATTATTATATTAGTTAACCCTTTTTTCTGCTGCAGTTTTGACTCCTCAATCCCATCTCCATACCCAGTTTTTTAAAAACCTTATTCACCTCTGATTTATTGCAGACTCAAGAATGAACAATCCGTCAGAAACCAGTAAACCATCTATGGAGAGTGGAGATGGCAACACAGGTAACAGTTTTCTGATCTAGCTTTTTAATTAACTCTAGTAGAGCACAAAGAAACTTTCTACCTAACTAGGACTCATATTTGGCAGAAATATAGACCAGTTTCAGTATTGAGTTGTCAGATATGATTCAGTCCTTAAGGAAACTGGGAGGGATTATGTTTGTTTAAGCTTATCTAACTTTCTTCTGCAGATAGCCTTGTTGTTTTGCTTCTATCAGAGAAACTATGCAGCAGTTAGGAAAATTGTCCTTTGGGTCAGATAGTTTTTGGGTATGAATTATGGATTTACCACTTACTATGTGACTTTAGGCTATTTCCCCAATCTTTTTGAGACTTAATTTATTCAGTTATAAAACGATAATATATTTCAGGTCATTTTGAGTATTAGAGGAGATAATATATGTGACATGTTAAGGAAAATGCCAGCTACACAGTGACCATTCAGTAAAATGTTATTTTTCTTACAGATGTTAATCAAAATAGTAAATTTTATCTGCCCTACATTTGATAGAAATTATATTAAAAGTTATGATAGTATCAGTAGTTATAAACAGATACACATTTTTAATACATTCTTTTATTTGGTAATTTTAAAATGTTATACTTCATTAAACCTTTTATCAGGAGAAAATTATCATATAAATGAGAATACTGAGGCCCCATGAGAGAAAGGTAAATCCATAAAGGATGGTTTGTCTCCACAGCTCATACTCTTGAGTCAGTATATTGCTTATAGGATGTAAGATTATGTATCTTTCTCATTTGCCAGAGACGATACAAGGACTTCCCTGGTTTTTGGTAAAGGCATAAATCAAAATAGTAAACCAAATAAGAAGACAAGGATGCACAGAAAGTACTTGTTTCCAAAAACTAGGTTTTTCACTTGCAGAGAGGGATTCCTTTTGACTTACGATTTTAAAAATGCTCAACTATGAGTGATGGTAATAATGAAAGGCCCTCTTAATTTATGGTAAATGGCTGAGTTGAACTAATATAGCAGTTTCCTGCCTACATGTCTTTTGCTGTAAAATGTCCTATACATGGAGATGCTTATGCTAATCTCTAAACTGTACCTACCACTTTATACGAAACTGAGCTGTGGGACTTCCCTGTTCACCCCTGTTTTGTTTAACACACTTCATAGTACTCTTACTGAGGCTAGCCAAGTAGACTCCTGTAGTATTTCTTGAGAAGGGGAAGGGCAGCATTGTGTCCTGTCTGAACTGTCAGACACAGTCTCCTCTTTGTTATTTCTCTGTCCCTCGTTTGGACTCCATCTTTCTTTCTTGCGTAGCACTGGTTCCTATGCAGTGCTGGTGCTTCAGCCACCTAGCTTAGGTGTGGGAAATGTTTACAGGGAGAAATAGGGCAGCAGACCCCCTTAAGAGATTAGGGGGTGGGGTGGTGGGCCAGACACCTGTGCCTGAAGAACAGCTTCAAAGAAGAAACATACTTTTTTTTTTCCTAAGAAAAGAGAAGCAGAATGATTGGAAAACACTGAAAATATCCATAACATCAGACTCCATGGAAATCCCTGTATGGACTTTTAATGCTACTACTGTAATAGCAGTTTCAGCAGTTACCATTTATTGAGCAACTACAACCCTTTTTTTTTTTTTTTTTTTTTGAGTTGGAGTTTCACTCTTGTTGCCAAGGCTGGAGGCCAATGGCGAGATCTCAGCTTACTGCAACCTCCTGCTTCCCGGGTTCAAGCAATTCTCCTGCCTCAGCCTCCCAAGTAGCTGGGATTATAGAAGCCTACCACTATGCCCAGCTAATTTTTTGTATTTTTAGTAGAGAAGGGGATTCATCATGTTGGCAAGGCTGGTCTTGAACTCCTGATCTCAGGTGATCTGCCGGCCTTGGCCTCCCAAAGTGCTGGGATTACAGGCGTGAGCCACCGCACCCAGCCTGCAACTATAACACTTAATAAAACGTCTGTGACATGTTTTTTCCTAATGCACTGTGTGCATCACCTGATTTCAAGTTAAATTCTTTTGACAAGTTAGATACCATTATTTCAAAGAATAGGAAATTGAGGCACAAAACCAGCCAGGAAATAAAGGCAGGTTTAGGATATGCAGCCTACATGTGAGTTTCCCCAGGAAGTGCAATAAAATAAAACTGAAAATTTAAGCAACATTTTGTATATGTCCAGACCTATATGTTTTAACTGGAGCACTTTTTGAAACAGTCTTGTGAATTTCTTGCCCTTTTTTAGTATGGAATGTGTGGCAAACTGGTTCCTGTCATAGACTTTGCATATTTGCTTAACTGTGTTTGATACATTAGGCATAAAATTATGGTTTATTTAGATAATTATATGCTTACAAATTTGTTTTTATTTAAGCATACAACAAATGAACCTTCAGACTCTTGAATTGTTTGTTAGTTAACTATTATTTTGTGGTGGTTTATGAAAAACAAGTAAAATGTTTAAGGGAAAGAATCCTTAGCATTATAATAATACTAAAGCCTCACCATTTCTGGATTCAGAATACATTTGTATAGATCATTTTTTCCTGAAATGTTTACAATTGTAATAATTTTGATTTGTGAGACTTTAAGGAGAATGATATTGTAAAATTATTTTAAGATTGTGTCGATACGTTAATTCTTTGTCTTTCTTCTGTCAGTGATTTGAGAAGCAAAAATCAAATGATGCTCTTTTTGTCAAAATAGCCCTTATATGTTCGCAGAAAATCTATTGTTTAGGTTTTTAAAAAATATATTCAGTAAGTGCCTGTTCTGCGTGTAAAGTACTATAATTGGTGTTACTAGAATATACAGTGAAAATAGGTGAAATAACCCTCAGTCTTTAAGGAGTTAACAATTCATTAAGAGATAATACTAATAAATAGGTAACTGATTCTGGATAGATTATGGTAAGTAATTCAAGAAGAGGTATTAAAAAGTGCCATAGTGGTATTAAGTAAGTGTTTCTGTGAGGAAATTTGAGTATGTTTATAGGTCAGGTGCAAGGACCCATCAGGGAGCAGGAGAGTGGAGAAAGAAATACAATTAATTGAACCAAGGTAGGGGTGAAGGGCTGGGATCGGAAGTGCAGAATGAAGGGTTGACTCTGAAAATGAAAAAAGACTACCCCATTTCTCTAAAACTAGGGAGAAGAAGCAAATAATATACAATGACAGAGAAAATTGAAGTGGAAGGGAGAAGCAAAACTGAGCATTGACTCACATCAGATTGCCTCATTTTTCTCATTAAAGTAGTTGAGGTGGTCACCTGAGAAGGAGGCAGGGCTATATTAATAATAATGACAGCAGCTACTGTTTTTTTGAATTCTTACTGTAGGTGTGTGGCTAGCCACTTTATTATATATACTTTATTGTTAAAATACTCTTATAAGGTTAAGTAGATTTATAAAAAGGATTGATAAGCCTATTGAGGGTCAGGCTCAAAGAAAATAAATGTGTTAGCATATCCAGCCAACATAGTTATACAGTTGATCCTTGAATAACATAGATTTGAGCTGCACGGGTTTACTTAGATGCAGATATTTTTTCATTAAATATGTTGGATTTTTATTTATTTTATTTTTATTTTACTTTTATTTTTATTTATTTATTTTTTTTTTGAGATAGAGTCTCACTCTGTCACCAAGTGCCAGGCTGGAGTGCAGTGGCGCAATCTCAGCTTACTGCAACCTCTGCCTCCCGGGTTCAAGCAATTCTCCTGCCTCAGCCTCCCTAGTTGCTGTGACTACAGGCATGTGCCACCATGCCCAGCTAATTTTTGTATTTTTTTAGTAGAGAGAGGCTTTCACCATGTTGGCCAGGATGGTCTCTATCTCTTGACCTCGTGATCCGCCTGCCTTGGCCTCACAAAGTGCTGGGATTACAGGCGTGAGCCACCGTGCCCGGCGGATTTTTTTTTTTAAGATTTGCAACAGTTTGGAAAAACAGATGAAATGTGAAATATTGAAAAAATTTAAAAGGTATATAACGAATGCATAAATATATGTAGATGCTGTTCTGTTTTGTCATTTATTACCATGAAATATCCACATCTATTAAAATTATAAAAACTTAAAATATTTCAAAACCTATGCACACAAACACTCAGAGACCGCATACATGGCACCATTCAGTCTAGAGAAATATAAGCAAATGTAAACAGCACAGTATTAAATTTTAGTTGCACAAAGTTAACTGCAGTACCTACTGTAATACTGTAATAATTTTGTAGCCACCTCTTGTTGCTATTGCGGTGATCTCAAGTATTGTGAGTATCCATTTAAAATGCTGTGTGACCCTAATCACATCACAGTGAATAGTTCATCAAGTAAATTGTGTATTGCAGTAAAAAGTGATCTCTCTTTGTTCTTGGGTATTTTTCATCCTGTAGTGCAATAACCTAAGCCTTAAGTAATACCATAAGACCTATACAAAGTTCCACTGGTGGTACTGAAAGTGCTTCCCAAAGCAGAGACAAGTCATGATCTTACAGGAAAAATTTGAATTGTACCGTAGATTGAGGTCTGCAGTTGCATTTGCCCTCCATTTCAAGGCAAGTAAATTAAGTTTAAGGACCATTATTTAAAAAAAAAAAGAAGAGGAAATGCATGAAGCCATCGCTGCAGCTACACCAACAGACACAAAAAGCTTGAACTTTTTGCGAAATACTTTATCTCCAGCGCAGTGGCTCACGCCTGTAATCTCAGCACTTTGGGAGGCCGAGGCGGGCAGATTGCCTGAGCCCAAGAGTTCCAGACCAGCATGGGTAACGTGCTGAAACCTGTCTCTATTAAAAATATAAAAAATTAGCCAGGCGTGGTAGCGCACACCTGTAGTACCAGCTGCTTGGGGGGATGAGCTGGAAGAATCACCTGAGCTTAGGAAGTCAAGGCTGTCATGAGCCGATATCACACCACTGCACTACAGTCTGGGTGACAGAGTGATACCCTGTCTCAAAAAAGAAAAAGGAAAAATGCAGCTTTTACATGGGTGCAGGATTGCTATAAGAAAGGCATACCTTTAGAATCT